TATCCATTCATACTATACACAATGATAGTGTATCCATTCATACTATATATAATGATAGTATATCCATTATTACTATATACAATGATAGTGTATCCATCCATACAATATACAATGATAGTGTATCCATTCATACTGTATACAATGATAGTGTATCCATTATTACTATATACAATGATAGTATATCCATTCATACTATACACAATGATAGTGTATCCATTCATATAGTATACAATGATAGTGTATCCATCCATACTATATACAATGATAGTGTATCCATTATTACTATACATAATGATAATATATCCATTCATACTATACACAATGATAGTGTATCCATTATTACTATATACAATGATAGTGTATCCATTCATACTATATACAATGATTGTATATCCATTCATACTACATACAATGATTGAACCCATCCATACTATATATAATGAGTGTATCCATTCATACTATATACAATGATAGTATATCCATTATTACTATATACAATGATAGTGTATCCATTCATACTATATACAATGATAGTGTATCCATCCATACTATACACAATGATAGTGTATACATACATACTATACACAATGATAGTGTATCCATCCATACAATGATAGTGTATCCATTCATACTGTATACAATGATAGTGTATCCATTCATACTATACACAATGATAGTGTATCCATTCATACTATATATAATGATAGTATATCCATTATTACTATATACAATGATAGTGTATCCATCCATACTATATACAATGATAGTGTATCCATTATTACTATACATAATGATAATATATCCATTCATACTATACACAATGATAGTGTATCCATTATTACTATATACAATGATAGTGTATCCATTCATACTATATACAATGATTGTATATCCATTCATACTATATATAATGATAGTATATCCATTATTACTATATACAATGATAGTGTATCCATCCATACAATATACAATGATAGTGTATCCATTCATACTATACACAATGATAGTGTATCCATCCATACAATGATAGTGTATCCATTCATACTGTATACAATGATAGTGTATCCATTCATACTATACACAATGATAGTGTATCCATTCATACTATATATAATGATAGTATATCCATTATTACTATATACAATGATAGTGTATCCATCCATACTATATACAATGATAGTGTATCCATTATTACTATATACAATGATAGTGTATCCATTCATACTATATACAATGATTGTATATCCATTCATACTATATATGATAGTGTATCAATTATTACTATACACAATGATAGTATATCCATTCATACTACATACAATGATTGAACCCATCCATACTATATATAATGAGTGTATCCATTCATACTATATACAATGATAGTATATCCATTATTACTATATACAATGATAGTGTATCCATTCATACTATATACAATGATAGTGTATCCATCCATACTATACACAATGATAGTGTATACATTCATACTATACACAATGATAGTGTATCCATCCATACAATATACAATGATAGTGTATCCATTCATACTGTATACAATGATAGTGTATCCATTCATACTATATATAATGATAGTGTATCCATTCTTACTATATACAATGAGTGTATCCATCCATGCAATATACAATGATAGTGTATCCATTCATACTATATATAATGATAGTGTATCCATTAATACTATATACAATGATAGTGTATCCATTATTACTATATACAATGATAGTGTATCCATTCATACTATACACAATGATAGTATATCCATT